AGTACTGTTGTCTTGACTACAAAACAAATTTTAATATCAATAATAAATTATGTTTTTTCAAAACTATCTTTTTCCTGAAATGTAAATACTAATAATAAAATGGATGTAACCGCCAGTTTATTTTTCTGAAAAAAAGAAATCCTCATTTTAAAAAGTAGAAAACCAGGAATAGATTTAATTCTTGTTATCCTAAAATTTCGAAGTTGATGCGTTATTGGGAAAATAATTTTCCGGAACGCTAAGAAAAGGAAAGGAAAAAAACTTGTAATTAATTTCTATTAATTTTGTACGCACGTTGAGATGCATTATTTGCAATAGTTACATTTTTATGCATTTTCATGTATTAATGTCATGTGTTAAAAAACTGAATTAAAGAGAAATGGAAGTATATGGCTTACAAAATTTTGCTTAAAAAACATTATTATTTTCACCAAATTTCAATATTATTTGCAAAGCTCTTCAACAGATGGCGTGGAATAGTAGTAGGTGAACTGCTGATCACACCAAATGAAATATTTTCTCGGATGGGTATTTGCATGTGTTTTTTGTGTACTTAAACTGCAATACGTTGTCGCTGCAAATGTTTGTTATTTTTAAATCATTGAGTCATAATTTTTCATTGTAAGCGCCATCTTCGGCCGATTTTTGAAGCTAAATGTGAATTTTAGTTAGAATAAATATCTACTTTTTCACCAGAACACAGTGTACATTTCTCCTTTCATTCGTATCTAAGATTTTTGGAGTATTATGTATTTATTTACATTTGATGTTGATATTGATGTGGTATTTAAGTAAAATTATAGAAAAACTAATCGGAAGATTCGGGATCGTATTCATCCACGCATGCGAATACAAAAGAACAGCACGGCCTTCGTTTCAACTGAAACAAAGAAGCACGCCATTTTGGTGCTCGAACATTATTCCTTTCATTTTTATTTAAGTGATTTTTCCAATCGCCATATGCCGTATTTATTTACATATATGTAATTGGAAATAATGTGATCGTGGTAAATAAAATTATAGAGAAACAAGTCAGGAGATTAATATTTTATTCGTCCACGCATGCGGGTACAAAAGAACAACACGGCATTCGTTTCCACTAAGGCAAAGAAACACGTCATTTCGGTATATCGGGTCATAATCCAGAACCCGCCATTAAAAACACAAATAAGAACATACAATTTTAATGAAGAAACAAACATTTTATGCTTTAAGACAAATACAAAACGTTTTTCTGATAGAGTTGGTAATCATAATTTTAGAAAGCAAAATTTTTTACTGAATATACCTAATACTATCTCCATAATTTTTAGTTGATGGTTTCTACAACCATTTTTCTTCAACCAAAATTTTAGTTCACATAAAACCTTTTGAAATTATTAAATTTTAGCAGTTTAAGTAACTGAAACTGCATTCCAATAAATAGAACTCCTTCAACTATTTTGCTTAAATGTTTTCTCAGGGTTTATAATTGTTATAAAAATAAAATGACAAATTTGTTGCTAGAGTTTATCTGCGTGCTTTTACTCAATCCATGCCAAATTATTTTCTCGCATTTAGATTAATGCGTTCACAATCATTAATAACAGGCACTAATGTTTACAAGATTATGTAATTAAAACTGATGAAAATTTTTCCGTTTTAGCTTTAAAATTCTTTTGCTTATAACAAGAATTATATAATTATCTTTTAATTCCGATTATATTGAAAAGAATTTACATATCTGTAAGAAATTTAAGTATGGAGGTGATAAAAATTATTCTTATTTTTAAAGCGACAATAAGAATGAAGGAAGTGATATACTTTTATTACCCTCACGCACTTTTGGTACAAATTTTATTAATTCAACTACAATAAATGTATGAATTGATAAGAAAGATATTTAATGCGGCAAGTAATAATGTCAACAAATTCTTATTTAAATGCATGACACAGTAATTATATTGACATATATCATAATCACAATTGACATATATCATAATAAACAAATAAACTTATCAAAATAGTCTCATTAATCAATCACTATGATCTTAATTTATTTATATATAACTCTTTTACTTAACAGATTTTTTGCTTCAAATTTTGCTCATCTTATGTTTTTATTTTTTTATTTAGTGCATCTGTTAATGTAATAATTTTTAGTATGATGTTTAATGACTTATTTTTAAAGTGAATTAGTGTAATTAATTTTTAACATCTAAATAAATTACACTTATGAATTAGTGTAATTTATATCGATGCTAAATATTCATTAGTAATTCGAAATAGTACTTCACAAATTATATATATTAATGAATTATACATTTTTATTGCGTAAAAGCTCCGAATAAGTAAGCATGAATTCTTTTTAAAAACTTGATATTAATTGGTATTTTGATTTTAAAACAGGCCATGATGTCTATAATTTTCATAAAAATAATTTATGCATAATTATTATGTAAAATATGAACAATAGAAAAATAAAAACAGTTTTAAAGTTTCTTTATTGTTTCAAATTGTGATCGCAATCCACCCACAAATGGGAAATTTTACTTGTAAATTTAACGTAAAAGCTTAATTGAAAATTCGAATGAAGAATTTGTCTGCGAAATTTCATTATATCTACTATAATCAACTAAACTAAATTAAGAACTAAACAACATATGATATCAGAAGCCATTTTCAAATATTTAAATTTAGTACTTCAATTTAGTTTCAATCCATCTGAATGATTACAAATAGTTTCAGATTTTCAAAAAGAATTAAAACACCAAAGAACAGTATGTTCTAGACCAGTGATTCTCAACCTTTTTGTTGTGGCGGCACACTTTTAACGATTTCGAAATTTGACGGCANATGATATCAGAAGCCATTTTCAAATATTTAAATTTAGTATTTCAATTTAGTTTCAATCCATCTGAATGATTACAAATAGTTTCAGATTTTCAAAAAGAATTAAAACACCAAAGAACAGTATGTTCTAGACAGTATCACTTAAGTATCGTCTGCCAAATCTAGATAAGTTTTATTTTCAACTAACATTAAAATCCAATATTCGTGTTCTATTTTTGAATTAGTTAAATTTATCTCCTCATCAATATATGAAAATACTTTTGACATATTGTTCTTGTATGTATTAATCTATTATTTTTGTTACATTCACCTGACCCAATATAATTAATTTTCTTTAAACTGATATTAAAATCCATTCTTTATTTTCTATTTTTAAACCCCGTAAAACTGTTTCTTCATCAATCGATGAAAATGATTTTGACATATTGATCTATTTTTGTTACATTTGATATACCCAATCTGAATAATATTCTTTAAACTAATGTTAAAATCCATTTCTTATTTTTTATTCTTTCAATCTGTTAATTATGTAAGTGTTTTTAATGATTCCTAAAATTATGCAAATACTTTTGTCATTTTTATTATTAGTCCATTCATTTTGCTAATGACAATAATCTGGAAAAAGAATTATTTGCAAAAATACATTCAAATATTTCATGAAATGTTATTCTAAAATAATTTGATTATTTTTGTAATTTTAAGATTTACTCAAACAGTATTTTAATGGATAATCAAAATAATTTGAACTAGAGATAACAGTAAATGAAATTTACTATCAATATTTATGGACATGATTGTGTTATTTTCTGTAATTCAAAGTTCAGCAGTCAAGTTAACATAAACTTGTTTGGTAGTATGTTGAAATGTATAGACTGATAATAAGTTCAAATTTATTAATTTTAAAATCTTCTATTGTTCAAAATTATAAACATCAGAACTATTCAAATTTTGTATTATTTTACTTTGCACTCATCAAAATCTAAATAATTAATATATTTTCCCGATGATTTTACTGTCGTAGCTTTTTTAAATTTTCTGATATTTAAAAATTAAAAATATTCTTTTTCCAAATACATTAATTTAATCATTTAAAGATACAAATTTTTGCAACCGTTTTTTTTTTTTTTTTTTTTTTTTTTTTTTTTTTTTTTTTTTTTTTTTTTTTTTTTTTTTGTAATAAGCTATATTTTAGATTTGCAAGTTTATATAATTACTTCGAAATATTTAAGTCGGTAAACTGGTAAAACATCATTTGTAATGATGATTTTAAATTTTTAACAAGTGTTTGCTATATAGTTTTATCATTTTATCTTATTTTAAGTAGAAAAAAAAATTTATCATAAAAATGAAACTATAGACAAATAATACGAATTCCTTCAAAATTAAATGTACAATTTCTTTTTTTTATGTTCAACATGAACATTTAACAAACAAATATATAGAACATAAATTTTATGATGAGACCATTTTTAGCTATAACATTTGTATTTTGAAAACATGCTGCATTAATCTATAAGAAAAAGTGTAGGTAAAATTTTCTTGTTACCAACTCTTTGAAGGAAGGGATAAAAACACATGAAGACATTAAGAATAAATGAAAAAGTACAATAATATTTATTTTAAAATTATTTAAATTTAAATATGATAACTAATGTAAAATAAAAATAGTAGCAAAAAACAAAAACAGCGAATCATTTATCTAATTTTAAACATAAATTTCAAAAAGAATATGAACTGTGTAAGACTTCATTATTTTGTACTTGTAAGATACAGTCATTAATATTTAGTTCAAACAATCATAACAATCATTCAAACAAAAAATTAAATAAAATAAAAATATTATTTTGAGAAATAATCATAACTTTCAAAACCAAATTAATTACAGATTTGAAATCCCAGACCTGAACTAGTAAGATCAAGCAACAATATGCAACAACCACATTTTTTGCTGCATAGCCACAATGCAACAAAAAATGTTTCTCAAATATAGTTAATCATAATTATTTATTTTTTAATGTACTTACTTTATTTTCCAAGTAATTATTTTCTTTTTATTATTGATAAAATAAAAATATGTTTGAAAATTCTCCTATTTTAAATTTAATGATTTAAAATGTTTTTGGAATCCAAATTGGAGTAAACTTTTAAATTTATTACTTTAATATAAAAAAGCTTTTATTTTGAAAAGAACAGTTTAAAATAGTTGGCAAAACTATTACTAAATATATTTCGGAACTGTTTAAGAATATTACAATTACGAAACGAAGTAAATTGCCTACAAAAAAACCTATAAACTTTAATTTAAGCGATTTTAAAATTGTTTGGCTCTCTCTTAGACCATATTTAATTAGCTTATAATAAAATTTCTAATAAAAGTAATGTCAAACTTCAGAACTTTTTAATAATAGGTCGTCAAATTTGTTTAACCAATAATTCAAATTCCACATTCAAGTTTCGAGTATTAATTTTATAACGGATTTATTGAATTTATACTTAATTCAATTTATTAATAGATAATAATTCAATTTATATATTTTATAACGGATATTAACAGAAAAAACTTTTACGTCTTTACAACAATGCTTAATCAACACTGATTCCAACTATATCCAAGAGTTATGATTTAATTTAAGATTAACTAGAAAAAATGATAGTTACATAATTCAAAATGTCAAATACTCTTGCCAGATCCTTTCAATCTTCACCAAATCATTAATTTAATTCCTTCAGTTTAAAATTTTGAAACTCAATATGCATTCAATAGTATAAATAACACATTCCATGGAAAAAGAATAATATGTTTAGCGAGGAGACAAGTTTCAGTTTTCTAATTTAATGCTAAGGTTTAATTGTCCCCCCATTCGATCTAGGAGTAGAAACACAGCACCATCAAGACGTAAAAATTAAATCTCATTCATATTTCTGAAATATTACTCTACTACAGAGCGTTCAAACTTATCGCGATAAGTTTTCACGTAGTTCACAGTCGCTCACAGCGCCCTCTCTAAAATGATGAGTCACGTCGTAAATGCAAGTGACTTCTGGTTCCTCTAGTATAAAATGCTGAATCTATTACTTTGATGGCTTCAAAGTCCAAATATTTTTCCTCTCATTTCATAAACACTATCATGCGCTCAGCATATTTTTTATATATTATTTAATTCTAAGAGGAGCTCTCCTTTAACACCCCCTACAAAATTGAGCAGAATTCCAACAATCCAGATTTGATGTGTAAAAGTCTCATGAACAAATTTACCAATTACTGAGATAGCCCGGAAAGGAACTATTTTAAAAAGTTTTTACCTCTAAAACGTTTATCTCGAAGCCCTTAAGTTACAGTTTCTTGCAAACATATTGTTTAATTTTGAAAAAGAATTTTAAAAAAAAAATTTTTTTATAAATGACAGTAAGAAAAAAATCACTATACATCGTATGACTAGATGAATTCGGCATTTTTAAGAAGCCTCAACATACGATGGTCATCAACGCATGTTCTGCGCTGCACAGAAGCTACAGAATAGTCTTGGCTCTCTACGGAGCTTGTGCAGAACATGCGATAATGAACGTGATATGGTGATGCTAAATTAAATTGACAGATGTATAATAATAACGGATGAATACGTGGACTTCATGAAATACCTTTTATTCGTAAGCAGTATTCATCATCAACTGCCAAAACTTGCTAAATCCGAAAATATGTCCCATATAGTAAGAAACATCTCACAAATTTATTACTTAATTCGTAAACACATTCGCTAGCCAATAATCAAATCCCATAATAAGTTTCAGTGTAGTGCAAAAAAAAAATATATGATATTGTTCGTTCTTGTATATCATACAATACGTATATCATCCTTTACTAAATCATTTCGGAGTATGAATTGGACAGCTAAATATGAATGCAACATAAACTATTTTTAAACTTGGTTCAACATTGAAAGCATAAAACGTTACATACTTTCTTAAACCTTAATAAGTCTTTAATTAAGTCGTGTTTCCATTCAAAAGTTCAAAAAGATAGTTTAAGTTTAAGATAATTCAAGAAGAGCAAAAAATATTAAACCATATCATAGTTCTTCTTAACCTTCATTACACTGTACCGGAGTTTCTTAAACTGTGGGTAGTGATACTAATTGGAGTCACGGGATCTGCATCAGGGGTCACTACAAATTTCAGAAATTTTTATATTTCTCTAACTTATTATAATGACCTTACAATTACCCAATAAAGCTCAGATCATGTGATTGTATTATATTATAAGTTTGCTACTTAATTAAAATTTTCACATTGTTCCATGAATAAAAATTAAAATATCTGACCAAAAATTGCAAGAATATACTCCAATAAGTAAAGAAATTGAAAGCTACACTTACTCTTGTATAGAACGTCAGCAAAGCTTATGAGATCCCTTAAAATTTACTTAAATATTATGAGGTTCCCATATCAAAACGTTCAAGAAGCCATACACTATAACATACTTTATCTTGAATAGAAACAAGATTCAGTTAAATATTACATTGAATTTTAACCTTTCGGCGCAGACTATTACGTAAATCAGAGTAAAAATGATAAAACTGGTTCCACAAACTATTTCTTTAACAGTTTATTTACGGTTGGTATAATAATAGTTTGATTTATATTATTTACCATTGCACAGTTCAAAAACAAATTACATAGTTACACTGAACTAAGATCGATCGAGTCGGGTCAGATCCCATGAATGAAAGAGAGCCCACTATGGCTGGTACTTAGTAACCAAAACAATTCTAAGTCACGTTAGAATTGATGTAATAGCAAAAGTTAGTCTGCCAAATTAGTCATACCCCTATTTAAAATACCACGGTTGTTGTTTTTTTCATATTCTGTAAGAGTGCATTTATGATTAAAGGTTAACGAAACTGTGAACCCTATTATGGTTCAAGGTACTAGTTGAACCATAACACGTTGAACATTTTCTAAAATCATATAAGTTATTCAATTGAATCTTGTTTCCATTTGAGGTAAACATGTTGAATGGAAACAAGTTTATCTTGTTTCCAGTCGAAACTAACATGTAATTAAGCTTAAGAAGTAATATTATGGTTACAGTAAATTTGTACCTTAATAGGGTTGCAGTAAATTTGAACGATATTATGGTTAATTACACTAAGAATTTTCAAGCATTGCAAGTGTGAAGTTTATTTCTTCTTAAAAAAGATGACACCATGCATATTCAGCTCTTCCAAAAAAATCCACGTATCTAAAAATGATTTTTTTCACTGTCAGATTTAACTTTAAACGGCATTAATGTTGTCAATTAATTACTGAAACGTCAGTTATTTTAATTATTAGTTTAATTAAGCAATTAATTCTTCATTTATCTTCTTGTAAGTCCTTTGTTTAGACGTTCATCAAATCTGGAATAACAAAGAGGAGGGTTAAGGAGATATTTGCTGAGTCCTCAATTATTTTCTACGCGACGATGATTCCGCGGGCAAAAAGAAGAAACTTAAACTGCCTTTCATTTTAATTTTATAAGACTGAAATGCTTTTTAGATTATTACTCCCAGTACATTTGTAATGCTTGGATGATGCATTGGAAAGAAAATTAAATTCTCATTGATCTCAGTATTTCACCTATATTATCCATACCTAACAAATACCACTTACTATATGCATAAAATATTGAAACAACTTAAAATAGGGTATTTCAATACGCTGTAGGACCATAGAATAAACATTTTCCATAATAAATAAACTAAACCAATTTACATATTTAAAGCCTTTGGGGTTAAAAAGTGATATCCAATGCCTTACTAAGATTTTACTTCCCTACTTTCAATAATTGTATACAACAAGCGTTTTCCTCTTGTTCAAGTTGTGCGAAACTTTATCAAGAGACAGTTATGCTAAACTGGTTCTCATTCAATAAATGAATAAAGATAAAAAAGAAAAGAAAATTAGCATCGCATCTTTGCAACGCCTATGACAAACGTGACGCCTGTAAGAGCCAGCTATACTAAATGGTTCACAGCCAATAAATAAATAAAGATAGAAAGAAAAGAAAATGGGCCACCTATCTTTGTAACGCCTATGACAAACGTGACGCCTGTAAGAGCCAGTTATACTAAACTGGTTCACATTCAATAATTAAATAAAGAGAAATAAAAAAAAGAAAATGGGCCACACATCTTTGCAATGCCTATGACAAATGTGACGCCTGTAAACTGCACTAATGTAGGTTACCACTTTTCACTCCCAAGGTCTTTATTTCGAATTTTTAAATTGAAATATTTAATTTAGTGCTCCAAAGACAAACTTCTTGTTAATTCGATAAATTAACTTTAAATTTAGTGTTTTAAATTGACATTTAAAAAAAAAGAATGAATGTAAATAGGGCACAGTACAGAATTTAATATTTAACACAGTCTTTAATTGAATGTAGCGAAACATTTATTGCGTATCAAAAAAGTGAGCATGTATTGAGACGGATTAACTGTTGAACAAAATATCACAGCTTATTAAAGGCTAACTTAATAAAAGTATATTATGATGGGACTGAATATATCAAGATTAGAATGATCTAAATAGCATTTCAGCCTGTTTTCTGAAGATTTAAGATCTTAAAATATGATTAAAAATCATACACTTCCCTAAAGCATAAAAGCAATAAAGACGGATTAATATTGTGCGCCAAGAATTATAAATCTAAAATTCATTTTTATGAGTTAATATAAAACCAAGAATGTTACATAAAGTATAGCTAACAGTTGTATACCTGAAAGCAGGATGTTGAACGAGGACAACGTTAAAATTTCTAATAATTAATTTCTTAAAAACCTAAAACCTTTTCAATGCAACAAAGTGCCCCTTACGTAGGAAATATGAAAAGCCTACACTGTAAAATATTTTGATGTATACTTCCCACCATTTTTGGTATTAAGGTAAACTAAATACATTTTTAAATACAGAACTGTAGTTATCTTTTAAGGAATTAAGTAGAATTTACAAAATAATAATTGTTTGAAAGTATTAGTGCAAATATATTATTAAAAATGTGTTTGATTTTAAACGAAATGTTTTTTGCAATGAAGCCATAAATTGATTCTAATGCCCATGAAAACGTGTGCTGAATATACGAAAAATGATTAAATAAATAAATAAAACTATAGCATAAACTGTAAAATATTTTGTTGCATAGTTGTCACGATTTTTTGTGGCAACTATATACAGACAACCTTTATATTATTTTAAGACATAAAAATTTTGACTACATGCACTGTAAAAAATGTTAGTTTAATTTACCTCAACATCAAAATGGGTGGTAATTCTACACCAAATTTGTTTACAGTGTAGAAAAAAGGCGAATGATACAAAATTAAAGAAACTTGCAGCAAATCAAGATCAGAGTTTACAAATTAAGCTAATTAGTGCCAAAAATAGACAGTTAAAAAAAAAAGCATTTTCCATGTATTAGACAAATGTGGAATAGTTGTAAGATCATTTACTATTGCTTTTTTTAGTATGTAAAAAGCCATCCAGAAATCACCGCAAACGCAAGGGTTGACGAAAAATTTTGAATAATAAGATGAGGTGAATTCATACTACCTTCATCTAGGTTGTTTTTCTGTTTTAGTCTACATAGCACAAAATGGATATCCCTTTTGGTTAAAATGTAATAAAAATGTAAATTTCCTTCAAAAAAATGTAAATTTCCTGCTGATAAAGGCGCATTTTGTTGCACTAGGCGTCAAGGTTTTACATAAACTAAATATTTGCGGTTTAAACGTAGTCCTCCTTCAACATTCTAGTTTCTAATCATATCACAAAGAATTACTCAGTAATTTTCTCAGTTATATATCCGACTTGGAACGGAAATGCTCAATGAAAAACGCTTTCTTGAATTTCATGTTTGAAATCAGGAATGTTAATTTGTTCAAAATTCAGCTATTTTTCGCATACCTTTTTGTTCTTCATCTGTGGAACATTATAAGAAACTGCATTTAATAGCCCGGGAATACTGCTAAAGTGATGCGACTTTCGATTCTTTCCTCCAAACGAATGAAGATAAATACGGCATTCATAGGTTAGTGATACAAAGCACGTATAAAAGTTTTCAAACTAGAACTATGTCATTAAACCCCGGTCTTGGGATAAAAGTAAAATATTTCCGCTTCTATTTTATGTACTAAAGCCAGGTCACGGAAAAATGAAACCCATCAACTTCTGTTAGTATCTAAGCGAAAAGATCCTTAATTTCAAAAAAACAATAGTAAAACATGTCAATTAACCTATGATTCGAATCGAATAGATTATGAAAAAGGGTGAAGGGGAAAATTTATTTAAATACATAATCTTTTCGATCCGAGGACAAGGAGCAGGAATCAATTGTTTGGACTAGAAACAATTGTTCCTTCTTCATGCTATGATCTGACATCAAACATATCTTCGAAAGAAAACGAAGTACTAGCAACTCTTTAGTTCTAATGTCCGCCACCAGGGTTCGATGTTGAGTTTTTCTTTTTTGCTTAAAAAACAGAGAAAGAAAGCAATCCTTGAAGTGACGGAAGTTTGCAAAAGAAAGAAACACTCTTCTTTACACCTGCCGGCAGGTGGCGCTGGTGTCCCCTCGCCGCTTCAAATGCTAGGCGAGAATTGAGCAAAACTTTTATTTATTTCGGCATCCTACCAAACTGGCCTTTGTCCATGTGAGCCTTTGTATAGGTTGAGGATGAAAAATAGAGGCACCTCCCGTGAGAAATTTTCACCTAGTTGCTTTTCCTTTATGCATCTCAATAATTGCATCCTGGTCAACATACTGGAATATATGTGGAGCATCTAATAATATTCCCACTGTTCCGGCCGCTGTCACCAGGAAAAATATATATAGTTGTAGTCTATCTATAACCATCGCCACATATTTCCAATCTTCTCGAATCTGAAAAAGAACAAGTTTTACACACACACCTAAATTTAATTAAACAAGTTTCATGCCAAATGAAGAGCTGCGTAAATGAAGAATCTGGAATTTACGAGATGGCATTCAGACACTTGACTTGTAGGGGGTGGTTGTGATAGTAACGGACTGTTCCATTTATTTATAGGTAGAGATAATGCTTTGGTTTTGAGATCGCGTAGAACTAATAAGTTTCGCTTGATGGATAGTTTTAGCTAACATTTATCACCCAAGCCAGAATCATGAAATAAGTAGGCCGTTTAACCTCAGTGAGAATTCATCTCTTGTTAACCAGACAGTAAGGGACATATTAGTGTATTTGTTTAAATTAGCTTTAGAACTATCTGAAATAAGCCGCGTTTATTATTATGTATAGATTACCAATCTTCAAATTAGGGGAAATCAGCATATTAACACTCATTAAAACTGTTTATGTCCTAGCATTTGCTCTTTTAGCGTTGGTATTTGCTGACAAAAGACGTATTTTATAAGGTTGTTTATCGACAATTTTTTTCCAAGTACACTTGAAACCTTCTACGTTCCGAAAGATCGTTACTTAATATTGAGTCATCTACTGAGATCTTTAAAGTTAAATGCAAAAAATTAACGAACGTTGTATTTCTGAAATAATATTAAAATAAGAACTTTTCCTCGAAATCTCAAATATTTTTCAAATATGCCACTTTGACACTTCATCCACTTAGCTCTTCAAATGTAATGGGGGGCGGGGCAAATTTTCAGACAGCAGTTGTGTAAAAAGTGTAAACATTTCAGTATTGTACTTTAGAAAAAATGTGTCTCATGATAAAAATTTTCCTAAAATAAATATTTAATAAAAATGAAACATTTTTGAAATTTAAAACTGTGGTTACATATACTCTCAATGCAAATATATTTAAATGTACTTTTTGGGGCACTCTGTATAAAAGATTATTTTCATATAGGTGTATTGGTCAACAGCCCGTAGAGTTCTCGTCTCTTGCACAAGTGCTGCTGGTTCGTAAATCGATAATAGCTTTTTAACGTGTATACTATACACACACGCATTAATCTCTTTATGTGCTTAGTTTATTTTATTCGTGCTTTTGCTAGCCCGTTATTTTTTTAATATTATTACTTTTATTCTTGCTTTTGCTAGCCAATTATTTTTTACATATTTTTAGACTTCATACATACAATAATTAATTACCTGTATGTATTCATCTTCACTCCTGAGGTGTTCTGCTATGAATTCCACCGCTTCCGTTGCTTTATAGGCTTCTGATGAGAGCACTAAAGTGTTGCTCTCCGACGAAATGCTGCCGGACAGTGCCCGAGCCACTGTACAGTTCGGATGATGGACGTCGAGAAGTTCCAATTTGCTTCTCGGTGGTGGATGGGAGGGGTGATAATGCTGGTGATACACCCCAGGGAGATCCATCATCCATCGCAGCCTGGTCTTCTTCGGCCTCTTCATCATGAGCATGGTGGGAAGATACTGCAGGAATACGACGCGAATCCAATTAGGCATTCTGTGGGAGGGAAGAAAACATAAGGAATCAATATCTTCTCCGTCTAAGGTAAGATCCCAAGAAAGCTATTGTCACGTGGAAATATAATTAAGTTAAAGAAGGGAATCACGACTTATTTTTCGAAATCTTATCGGTTTAATGCAGAAATTAAGAATTATTGCTAGAAATATTTAGATAAATATTTCATAGGACAACGTGAGAGTTTCAAGAATTGTAAACTGGTCCTATCGTGTGCTTAAAAAAATGAGAGAGAAAAGTAAATAATCAAGTTAAAATAAAATTAAGAGTAACATAGCAGAAATGCCATTTAGATGCACTTTGTGGAAATAATTTTTCTAAGGTAGAAAGAGTTATGTGGATTCTTGGGTTGGTAAATTTGATTAAATGTTACGTTGCCAAACACTACATTTAAATAATTCATGTATTCATACAGCATGTCACTAACCTCAATAAAGTTCGTGGTGTGTTTTTTTTTAAGCATTGGAACCAAAAGTATTTTTTCTAGAGGTAGATAAGTTAATATATTAGATATATTTTAATAAATTAGAATTAAAATAGTTCTGTCCACCACTACATATAAATAATTTTAAAAAGTTTATCTTAGATGAAATAAATATATTTTAATAAATTAGAATTAAAATAGTTCTGTCCACCACCATATGACCATCATCTTAAATTCTGATAAAAAATTTATTTGTCTTAAGAATTTTTACTTTAGTTCTCAATAACTGGAAAAAGAATTTCTCAAAAATCGCAAATGTTGGATTGTATAGTTACGTGAATGAGAAGGAGGCACCAGAGGAAAAACTTTTTTTGAAATAGTGGTGAACTTAAGGATGTTCTTAAGGATGTTGCATTTAATGTTAAGAAATACAATAACTCATGGCACACGCTCTGATTTCTACAGAAATTCCATATTTTCAGAAGATATTTTCTCTATTAGTGGCAAAAATAACCTCTACAGAGACTACAAATGTTTGATTTTTTTGCACTTTCCTTTTTTAGAGGCAGTGAATTGAGAGCAGAATTTTTGGAAACAAAGCGATTTAAAAAAAAAAAAACTATTAGAATTTAAGAGCTTGAAAGCATTCGTCTATATTATCTTATATGTATCTGTTTAAATTAGTAGTGCTTAAAATGGTGGACAAAATTATTTTCATTTTAATTTAGTAAAATATAAATGTTAAGTGCCATTGTTGAAGGTTACTTGAATACGCCGCCAGATGGCGATAATGACTGATCACCAGACAATAGTAAAAAAGCAGACAATGAACTGGTAACGAGAGTATACAATGAATATGTAAGAAGAGAAGAGACGTTCTTCTCCCTGCTATTTTCCATAAGTGTTTTTTTTCTTACTTTACATATGTTATATTAAACCTGTTTAGTTATCTAGAAAGTGTTTTATTTACCACTTCATATCATCATAAATACTATACCGTTGCTACCACTAAAAATAAATTTTCCTGAAAATACGCAAAGTGATAGTTATAAAATATACAGTGAAACCTCCAGGAAAGATCAACCCTATGTCACGACCTCCTCTATTTACAATCCCTTTTAGGAGGCGCAGAATTTTTTCCATAGAATTTGTATAGAATAAAACTTTTAGGAGAGACCATCTAAACTTGTCCCCGCGACCGGGCCAACCTCTGCACCAAATGCAGAAAAATTCAAATAATGAAACACGAAAAAATATCAAAACAAAAACTAATTAGATTAAAATGTATTTAATATATTTGTGTGAGACTCTTATTTAGTGATCTCTTTTTGGCAATCTTTGAAAGGGGTCTACAGCCTCATAATGCAGTCTAAAATCGATTTTATCATTGATTTATTTTTAGAGTTGAAAGTTAAATTAGAAAAAAAAGGAGTCAAATTAGAAATAACTAAGCATCTCAAACAAACAATTATCTTCTCATTTTTTAAAGCTAACTAATTTTTATGATGTAAAATTAAATGCAAACTTAAACAAAAAACATGACAGCTTATTTTTTTTTAATATTTCTGTAAATCGTAATTGTTTATACACATTATTATATCAGTAGGGGTCATTTTTATTGACCCTAAATTTTATTCAACTATCTGGTTTTCATGGCGCCAACACAACTGGCATTTCCGCACCAAGAGAACTCTGACTAAAATTAAAGGCGGTTGTGAATAATCATGTACCTTTGATAACATTTCGAAGTCAATGGAGACTACCCCTTAAAAAAGAACAACCTCAATTAACGATCATTTTACTGTAAAACAGAGAGTGGTAGCTTCCGAGAGGTTTCACTGTATGAAAATAAGAATATAGTAAATATATAATAAAAAGAATATTTCCCACTGCATATATAAGGATTTAAACACATGTGAAATAGGTAAAACTCACCAATGGCCATGAACTTCAGTTCTGATAAGGTTATAAAAATGTTCTGATAAGGTTTCATTGAAGTGAGCTATAGCACATAAAGTTTTAAAATACACCTAATTTTTCTAGAAATTTTAATAGTGATCATTGCCCAGAGATTCGAACTACTGCCGGTTTTAAGTAGCTTCAAAAAAAAATATATTTTTTCCTAGTGGTCGCAAGAGAAATGTATTCATATTTCAATAAATCAGAATTTTAAAAAATTTGCCCACCTCTAAACACAATTTTTTGAAACAGATGTATGAAAGGTCATATAGACAAATGCTAAAATTATTAATTTTTTTTAAAAAAAATCTATTTTCTTTTTCAAAAAATCTTGCTTAAAATCGCAACAATCTTAATTAACTGGAGTCGATGACAACTTTGCTGCTCTATTGAAATTGCATACCTTTGCTGGCTTGTGTACTCAATTAAAGCTTATAAACCTTTGTCAATTTGAAGAATACAAAATACATCCAGGGTTAACATCCCCAGGCTTCACGCAGCAGGATCTGGCGTGCTATAACCATCGGCCAGGGCGGCCCGTGTCTGGCAACTAACAAACTAACTAATACAGCTATTTCGGAGTTCCTATCCGAATGGGATATCTACTTCTATGTAGAAATTTAAATAAATTGGAGGATCGGAAGGGTGGTGCTGCGTTTAACACGTTCACGCCCGGGTGACCCACAAGTGGGTCACGCTAGATTGTCTCATCTTGGCAGCGCACCGGAGTAAAAACTGGTAACAAATAAATTTCAATTTTTAGTTTTTTTCCGGGAATAATAAAAATCCATAACTACCAATTGTTTTTAACGGATGCAATTTTTATATTGAATTGCTTCTTCACCGTGATTAATTTCCTCACAGTAAATTGTTATTGTTGAGAATAGATTAACTCCTCCCGAATATTATCTAATATTGAAATAGTTCTTCTACCAGTATTTTCACTTTTCCCGGCGTGAACGTGTTAACTGAAGTTAAATCTCAAGTTGGGTTACATGTGAAGTAAAATCGCAGTTTGTTACATAAAAAATTATACGAATGGAAAAGAGAGTTAAAAAGGTGAAAAAGAAAAATATTTACAATTATATACATCAGGGGAAGACTCCCTAGTCTCCCCCCGGTAGCAGGGCTTCTCAAGTGCAGAGTGCATAGTTCGTCTACAGAGATGCTAACTTGCTCCGGACAGCAAATTAATATTTTAAAGTGGTAGTTTATCAATTGTGATTCTTGGTTTAATAAATTCAATTTAGTAGATTTTTATCCACCACAATTTCTAAATGATTCGTAGGCTTATATAATTCACCACTTTAGAGTTTTTAGTCATGTTAGACCTTTTAAAAAGCAATAAAAATTGCCAAATAATTGCAAAATTTACTTTGTAGTTATTTACCGTTTTTTCTATTATTTTGGCGTGTCTGGAACAGTTGGCATGTCTGCGTCTATGGAGGAGAGGATAAAGTGTCTGGCAACTAATTATTCAATTGGTCATATTAGTTTAAATTACTTATTTGAAGTGGTGAGCAAAGTTCTATTAAAATATTCCTACATTTCCCTAGTAACCACTAGGGAAAAAAATTTAAAATTACGGATATTCCTTAGTTGTTGAAGGATCTAGTTATAATTTAGGTTATATTACGTCTGAAATGTTTATATTTTATCAAAGTCAAAGAAGTGTGGTAAAATAAAACAGCGAATTATTATAGAGGCAATAATGTTCACCTATGTGTGCGAGGCCCTCTGAAGTTCCAATTGATGATGATCACAGTGACCAAAATGGATACAGTGTTCATGAGGAAAGTGAAGAGGAGGTATTTGGCTATGAGGGGAAGGACAAGGGATGTGGGAGGAAGAATCTTGGAAACGAGCAACAGGAAGACGACAAGGGAGAGGAGAATCGAAATTCCTAGTGTCACTTTTTCCCCCGCCTCAGCAGGCAGGTAAAAGACGAGGATACATAGGAATGAGATGAGCACCGTTGGGAGAATTAGATTGACTGTATAAAAAAGTGTCTTCCGTCTGATGGTGATGTAGAAAGAAATATCCGTCTCGGTCACCTGTAAGAAAAAACACATTATCATCATTTTACATAAATTACTACAAGATAACCCAACGCCTCCTATAACTGGAAACCTCCACACGGTTTTTTACAGGTAGTCCGATCAGTTCACTGTGAAGGATATCCACTTTCCGAACGAGTCATTTAATGCAAAATCTAGTTAAAATAAGAAGGGGGTAGCAAATATATGCCTGAAAATTAGTTTTATTTATGAATATTATTGGTTTGCCTTATTCACTTGTCAACCACTACAGATTCAATTCTCAAATATATAAGATAAATTTCTCTCAATTACTTTTATAAAAGGTTTTGGGTTCATGCGCACAACCGGTTCACTTTTTAAATAGTCTGAGCGGACTACTTATAAAAGGCCGTGTGTAGGCTTTTTGATGCAGGAGGTGATATTTCCCTGCTTATGAAATATGGAATAATTTAATCCGTCATTGGTACCCTGGAAATGAGAAAACGCTGGAAATAAAGATATTTTGTTTTCTATTTTATTTTAAAACCGTTGGCTGAATAGAGCCATCACCTCCTACATCAAGAAGCCTCTACACGGTCTTTTATAAGTAGTCCGCGCAGACTGTTTAAAAAGTGAACCAGTTGTGCGCATGAACCCAAAACCTTTTATAAAAATAATTGAGAGAAATTTATCTCATATATTTGAGAATTGAATCTGTAGTGGTTGGTAAGTAAATAAGGCAAACCAATAATATTCAGAAATAAAATAAATTTTTAGTCAGATATTTGCTACCACTTTCTTATTTTAACTATATTCTGTATTAAATGACTCGTTCGGTAAGTGGATATTCTTCACAGTGGTCTGATCGGACTACCTGTAAAAAACCGTGTGGAGGCTTCCAGTTATAGGAGGCGTTAATAGTGCCTGCCCAATTTTGCATTAAAATTACCAAAGAACTCCATATCCTTGTAATTTTGAACTCAATCCAAATGACAAGGAATTTCTTGGATCAAGCATTAGGAGAAATTTATTTTCGTGGTGGATATTTTGATAGAATTAACCCGAATTTGTGTTAAAAGGAAAGGAAAACCACGAATACCTACCATGGTTAGCCTGACGGCAAGGGGACTCAAACTCATGATACGTCGTCCACTGAGGTTATTTTACGTTAGCAATGTGATCGGTTCGAACCGGGAGTTATCAGTCATTGCTAGGTTTCGAACCCAAGTCACCTCAATGGGAGGCGAGTGCTCTATCCTCTGTGCCACCACAGCTAAAACTGCTTTGTTTGCGACTTGTTTTCGGTCTGGCTTATCTTATTTAAAGTAACTTTTACTATGCTTTACTGCAGGCGTATATCTGTTTGCCTGAGGCCGCTTGCGGCCCTTTTTCCAATTCATCCTTATCTCAATCGGTGAGGTATTTTAATGAGGTGATGGGAACGCAAATGTAGCAGTTGCTTTCAATCGTAGAGAATCTGCCAATTTTTACTCCGCATGTGAAAGATATGGTAGACAGATGTAGATGATATTAACCCGTTTAATCCCGACTTTTTAGACTTTTTAAATTGAAGTGGTGCAAAAGGTGACTTTATGAAAAAAGTGGTATAATATGTTATTCAACTAAATGGCTAATATCAACTATTTGTAACCATTTCAGTTCGCAATGTCCCTGCACCTTATAGTTCTATATATAGTGATAGAAACTTAAATCACTAATAAATTATGGTGGAAGGGAAACTTTCAATTCTCCTAGATGAAAGACAAAATTGAAACAATTGTCCTACCACAATATATATTTTTGAAAAAGGAAACTGTCCTATAAATATGACGCTGGGCACTAACAGGTTAACTTTTCGCAATCACTTGTACTTATTTCCATTTCTATAACTTGTTCTCATATATACAATAGATTTATTTGCACTTAGTGGTAGCCAAAATCATGTTAAGTTAAATTTACAAATCAAAGCATCAGAAAGAAATTTTCTAAGGTGCATTGCCACTTTAAATGCAAAAATGAAATACTGCGATCAATCCCTAGTTGTTGGCAACTATGCCTAGGGAACAAATTTATATATATTGTAATTGTTAACAAGTATTGGTAAACAGAGTTCTTTTAGTCCTGAAACAGGGTTGCAAATCTGTATTTATAAAAACGGAAACGAGGATTAACTGGTCTATGTAAAGAACTCCCCTAGCCATTCATCTAGTGTAGTGTTGGTGACTATGGTTACGAGATTTAACTATTTCAAGTTGGGTCATAATTTAAGGTTTTAGCTCAAATCGATGAAAGAAAGGGAATCAGGGTTGAAAGAAGCTCCCCTCTTTGAAATGAGCTACTTCTTGTTTCCATAACAGTAGGTGGTTATAGACTTCGTGGTGAGAGGAGTTCTTTCTACCGACAAACTATAAGAAGGATTTTTCCTTCTAGGATGTTTTCGGGGAGAATAAACTATCCGTGACTATAAAGATTCTTATTAGTTGTAGAATTGTTATTAGTTGTCTTATTAGTTGTCTTATTAGTTGTAGGACAGATTTTTTCCGAAAAAAGTATGTAATAATGAATAATTTATAGGGATGAATAATTTAAATTAAATGATTTGACTACCAGTTTGTTCTCCTTATCGTCTCACTTGCAAGGCCTGTCCTAGATTTTTTTACCAACTTTTTTGGAATTAAAACAGCAATGATTTAAAAAAAATAGTATCCTAATCTAAGGTGTGACGTTACTTTCTTACCTTTAAACGACTTCATATTAGGGTGACTATGTATTTTTAACGGTATTTTATTGTTTAATCAAACCTTTTCAAGTGTAATAGGAAAACCCGAAAGCTGATCTTATTTTATAAAACTAATGGGTTTTAAAAAGGCTTTTATGCGGTTAGCCAAGTACTAAAATAATTTTCTGAATATTCTAATGTTAAGTTAGTTATATGTATGAATTTTTCTTTCTCTTTATACATAACTCTTATATCTCAGAAATCACTACGAGTGATTGAAAAAGTGATAATCACTACAAGTGATTTCCTGTTACAGTAGAGAAATTTTGACTCTATAACGAACAATTATCCTTCAGTGCTTCAGCGGTCCTTGAAAAGCTTCAGTAGTAGTAATAAATTTAGATCAATGCTAGAAGATATTTCTTATTTTAATATACCACTTTATCGTTAGGTGGTTTAGAAGCTTGAATTTTCATGCATATATACTTTCTTTGGAAAACAATTTTTAGTAGTGGTTGCAGAGAAATTAAAATAACAATTGCTTTATTTTCGTTACCGCTTTTTAAAATTTCCAAGGCCCACAGAAACCCTGGGCATATATATATATATATATATATATATATATGGGTCATTCTCACAAAAATAGTCATTTTCATGTCCCCAGTATATTTTATGTTTGTTTTACAACTTNTATATATATATATATATATTTTAAAGATTCTATACTGTTAGAAATATTAAATTAACACACAAAAAAACTTTCAAACATAAAACGTGATGTTTCTATGTTTTATATAACTGAAAATATTATGCTTCAACATAAAATTGTTTATTATAATTTTTTTAAATTTTATTATTTAATATTCTCAATTTTTAATAAGATAAGCATTCAAATAGTAGTTTAAATTTGAATATATTGCGCTAACAAAAACAATAGCATTTTTTTTTTAAATTTTAAAACAAACTTTTTGAGTTTTGAAATTTTTGCATCAAAAATTTAATTTAAAATATTTAAGTTGGGAGCCCTAAAGTTTTTGGAAATGTGGGTTTCCCTTTGGACACCTGTTCATGCATATATAAACTTTTAAAAACTTTCAAGGCCCACTGTTATAATTACAGAAGATAGGAAATTATGCCTGCATGAAATCTCGACCATCCCCAATATTATTATTTTTAAGAGGCATCCCAAAAAGCATGCTAATTTGAAAACATGCAAAAAAAAAATATTTTCTCTTTCCTATGATTGCTCTCTCACAAAAAATAACTTAAACGGAGTCGCACTAATACTTTAATTAAAAACAAAGGTTAATTACCTTTCCATATTTGGAGTTGTTGTAAACATTGAGAAAAGCGGGCACTTCGACAATGTCCCAAGTGCCACTCTTCCAGTAATCTGAGAGATCGACCCAGTACTGATCGTTGTACAGTTTAAGAGAGACCTGATCCCCATTAAAGGTCCAGGAACCGAACTTCATTACACACTTCTGCTGATCGAAAGGAAAATAGGTGACATCTATCCTGCAAGAGCTCTGATAGATGGCCGGTGGAACCCACATCACTCCTCCATTTGGGTAGATGAGTACGTTGGATTTATAACGGACTTCGTAGTTGCCATCAGCGCTGCAATACAAAACATCAATTTAGCCATCAATTACACTGAGGGGAAAAAACATTTTTGGAGACAAGAAAGACAATTAGCTCTAGCACACCTCTTCGCTATAGCTACGCCACTCAGCAGAGTACCGCACTGCGAAGTGTACACAGTGCATGTTAAGATTTTTTTTCTCATGCCATCTGGGTTGAGATTTAGTCAATTCTGACGTACTAGGACACATTTGTTGGCCACTCTACTAGGGGCACCATAAGATGGGCCAACGTTGCTCTCACGGTAAGGACAGATAGTGCAGAGAATGAAAGAACATCAACATCCATACCTTGTCCAGTATTCGAACCCAGAACCTTTCTGATGGCAAGGCCAGTTCCCTGACACCTACACAGTCCGGTCGGCGTGCAGGTTAAGATTTCTTATTTCAGTTTTGCAGCTACATTTTACTTCTCCAAATATATAAGTTACAGAAGAAACTTGTTTCGACTTGCAAAACTTATTAACCGCATTGAGAAAAACACTCTTTTAATGGTATTAATTCCATATAGGTAAATGGAATATTGGGTCTGGAGGTAAAGCTTAATTTTTTTCCATCTTTTATCAATACTATTTTAAAATTAGGTTGCTTTTTTTAAATTTAGGCAATTCAGACAAGAGCAGCATCTAATCTAATAGCGACTTTGTTTTTCATGTATGCTTAAAATGAATAAAATAAACAGAATCATGGTTTTTGTTGAAATATAAATCACTTATGAACGCTTATCGAAATGTTGTAAGTGTTGCTTCTTGTTATCGTCGAAAGACATTTCTATATTGAATATTGTTATTTTCCTTGAATTGAATGACATATTAGATGGCAAATATTAGTTCTTTTTTCCTTATTTTTTAATTATTTACGTCAAAATAAATAAAAAAAAATATTATAATTAGTATTTCAATAATTTATAGTTTTGGAATACAGCATAAAACACAGGTATCTTTTTTGCGTTGAAGAAAGCACTTTCTATACACGGATCTCTTCCAAACAATAATTTTTTTTCAAATTTGCACTTTCTTACAGTTATTTAAATCTAAGAGAAACAGTTATTCATCATTGAAATTTCTTCAATTTACGAAATCAATTATCAATAAAATTCTGAATACGAATGAGAAAAAAAAAACTTCAAATTACATTTTTCGGATTTTAAATTTCAGAAAAAATATAATTCCGATATTATTACAGATATTTTTTAGTAATTGCCTTTTATAATAATAAATAATAAAAAATATCAAAATATATTTTTAATTATAATTAGAGAGACAGAAAAAAATTATAAAAGGAACAACAGTGTTTCACGTGAGTTAAAGAGTTAATGTATGCTAATATTTTTCATAATTCACTCAATATATTGTTAGTCGAAAAAATATTTGTATAAAACAAATAATTAACTAATAGATTAATAAAAATAACCAAAATATTAAATAAAATGTGGATTGTCGATTGGTTATAGATATAATTGCAGGTTTCAAAAAGTATTACTAGTTCGGAAAAGTAGTTATAATTCTCGGACTCTGTTGGACTCTCTCGGATTCCCGGACTAATTTGTTAAATTAGTGTTATCAGACTGGCTACACTGCACCAAAAAGAGTTAAGCTAGTAATTCATACTTGATTCTAATTTTAATAAATTTAACTTAATTTGTTTTTAAATTATCATTACATCTAAATAGTTTAAACATATTTACAGCAGGCCTGATAGCTATCTTATTGTGTTGTAAGTGCTGGCTGAAAGTGAATTAAATGTCTGCTTACCTTATGATATATTGACTGTCTAATCTATATTATATAAAACGCTAATACGTATGTATCAATAAAACCGATGATATTTCTTTTCTCGCGTTGGCAACTGTTTTCAGTTTTAATTAATAGGCTTCGGCGTGCAAGAGCGCGTACTGAGCATCATATGGCTAATCTATATTATATAAAACGCTAATACGTTTTAATTGATAGGCTTCGTTGCGCAAGAGCACGTAGTGAGCATATCATATGTCTAATCGGGTGAATTCTCACCGAATTATCAAAAAAATTCTCACAAAATTATCTTCATCGAAGCCGATGCTTTACATCCGGCGTTCAGTACTATTTCATATTGTTTTACAACACATGGTTTTAGCCCTCTGGTGGGAAAGACTTTAAAACAAAACTTACAACAGTTACTTTTCTCAACAACTGAAATTTAGAATAGTGTGATTAAGAAAAATATGTGAACTGTTTGCAATTTCAAATTAATATTGAAATGCACAGGTTTAGAATTTTCTACAGTTAAAGTTTTCGGAATTTCAGTGTTCAAAAAAGTATACAAAAGCTAGACGTTAAGAACGTATCCAATGCGCGAGCAAAGCGAGCATCGGATTGCGAAGCAATCAGAAATGAACTGCGAAAGCAGTTTGGGGGGTTGTCGAGCGGCAGCGAGCAGGGGGCGAAGCCTCCTAGTAATTAAATAAACTGTCTTCAAACTCTCGGCAGATGCCTTTTTTATGATCTTTATCTTATTGTTTTCAAAAAAAAGAACAAGCAGCAAAAAAAATTGAATATTTTTCATTAGTTAAACTGATTCCTATAAAATTATTCAACTAGTTGAATGCATTTCTACTAATTAATTGTATGACTTACTCCTAACAACTACCAAATAAATTGTTCTTTTATTGATTTAACTGAACCACGATTCTTGGCTACCTTATGCATGAACTAAATAATCTGAACGATGAATAAGTGTTGAGAGCATTAAACTTGAAAAGAGTCTCTATTAAATGTATTGAAAAAGTTCTTCAAGTTTATTTGATATCGATTTTAACAATGAAAAAAAATATTTCTTTATATCCTATAGGTTGGATAGAAATGGGTTAACGCATATAAGACGAAAGAAGAAAAGATTTTACGGACATTTTATGTTTGTGGGCGATATATCATTTGGTTTGGCGCCAACAGGAATATTTTTTCCTCTACTCGCGAGAAATGATACAATGTAGCTCTTTTTGGAAACGAAAAAGAATACAACTTTGTAAATAAAAATGAGAAAAATATTGAAAAATGGAGCCAAAAAAATTTTTTTTTCAAGATACTATGTCATATAGATAAAAGTAATTCATTATATTCCGTACTTCAAACCAAACGCGTTTTCGTTAAAGAAACAACCTATCGAAACGATTTCCATTAAAGATGATTGGATTTGTTTATTCAGTTAAATAGTTATCAAATCAAATTTTTAGCATCAACCTAAATCTACACGATTATTTACAGGAAATTGTAGTTATCAATCCATTTTCTCTTTTTGGCCGGATTTTTTTCGGAAATAGACTGATAGCAACTCACTATTGTCGTTATACACTTAACTAATGTCGTTATACATTTCGGCAAATTTGTCTACTTTTTCCTTCACTGAAAATCGAAGTAATATTTTCTCGTTCTTTGAATTTTTTTCGTCTTAAACGAGAATATAAGTTTTACCTAACTCAGGTAACAAGCAACTTTTAAAAACTCGAAGATTTGCTTACAATATTTGCGGGTCTGTATTTAAGGCCTGTTTATACGATGCAAGTTCTTGGACCAAGATTGATTGAAATTGACGGAAACTTGTTTTGCTTAGATCTTGGATCGTGTAAGCGATCATCCAAGTTCTTGGTCCCCACTTGGATGATAGTAAAGCGTGTTCTACTTTCCGTCTAAGTTTTTCCTCCCTTAACCAATCAGCTTTTAAAATTTTGTGACGACAGTTAGCAGACATATGATTATGTCCTTTTGTTGTCCGTTTTCGTATATTTTAATCCAAATAAATTAAAATGTTAGGGTCTATTTACGTTATTATTATTTTATTTGAATTTATTTAGTAATGTTGAATTCATATAAGTTTGATTTTATAATGTTGCTATATTAGTATGAAAAGTGCTCATGCGCAGGTTTTTCAACCGACCAATCAGTGGCATTCAAGAACTTGGATAGTGTCGATAAATCATCCAATTTCTTGGAGTGAGAAATTCCTCCAAGTTCTCGTATTCAAGAACTTGGACCATGTAAACAGGCCTTAACCCTTTCTCACCGACTGTCACAAATACGTGCCAGCATAAAACCGTATCAACTAGGGTAAAAAGATAAAACTGGTAATCAAAGTGATTCTTTAGCAGTTTATTTGTGGGCGGAGTTATAATTGTTTGATTTATTTAATTCACCATTACTTTGTTCAGAATAAAACTATTTAGTTATACTTTGAATTAACATTGATTATATATATGATTAAACTAACAATAATTAAACTAAAAGCAAAGTAGGTCCGTCAAATTAGAAACAACTACATTTAAGTTACCGTTTTTTATTTAATTACGTCCTGATCCTGATTTTGTGCGAATGCTTTTCTGAATCACCCGTCCCCAAGGGGATAAGGTGGGTACAGAGTTGCTTCTCAGTGAGGTTTCCTAGATAAGGTAATGAAACAGTTGCCTTATAAAACCGCGGAGAAAAAAGGTACCGGGAGTCGACAATACTAAAAATCTCATTAGGGTGACCTTGTCTCACGGCATGCCAGTTCTCCAGATATGCCCTGCTTGGATATATTTCTATGGTGACATGAATTGTTCAACAGAGGTTTATTGCCTCATAACTTTTTGATGTGATTTTATAGTTCTAAAACCTTAAGGAGCTTTTTTCTATTTATAGTTGTCACAATTCATGGTAAGTATTCAATTAAATTATGTTAATTTAAACGTCAGAAAAATCAACAACAAGCACATTTTTATGAACTGCAAGACTGTTTCAAAATTCCTTTTATTCATAAATCACTCCAGTTTAATTTCTGTCTCATTTACAAAAAAAATATTGTAAATTTCTACTATCTCCACAAAAAAAGAAAAAAAATAGTAAAATTAAAACTTCTTTTTGCTAAAAAAAAGATAACCTTGAAAGATTAATTTACTATATTTCAAGAAAAAAATCGTAAACTATAAGTTTTCTTTGCAAAAAAGAAGCTACTTTCACTTTTTAATAAATCGTGAAAGCTAAATCTCCTTCTTTTTTCCATTTTTTTTTCTTTTTATATTTAGTAAAATTTAAGCATTTTTTTTTCTTTTCCAAAACAAATTTCGTAAAATTTAAATCTATTTCTTCTTCCCCAAAAATGCTTTATAAATGAAATTTTTCTCATCTCTTAAAAAAAATGCAATTAGCAGCCTTTTTATCAGAATATTTTAATTAACCATCAAGCACTAAATTATGATGGATTTAAAAATCTATTTATAGCTTTTCATCCGAAAATTACGCATACTAATGAAACTTAATGAAAATACCAGTTTAAATACAACCACATCATTAATTACATATAATTCTTCCAAAGAAATTATTTGTATTTATTTAAGCTTTGTGATTATTTATAGCTCTCAACACCTCCTGTATGTTTTCAGGCATTTATAAATGTCTCTCGAAAGGAAGCTGTCAAAATCGATTGTTACGCCAGAATTAATTAATCATAATCCTCTCTCAGAAGACAAAGATTAAGCTTCTAGCCTATGGCGACTCTCATTGGCGATCAATAACTTTCAGCGGAGATAAACTTCACAGAATGAAGAGACGGTAGGTTTAAGCATTGGCTATGTAATAGTCATAAGGTTAAATTGTGAAGCAAAGATTGAGCTATAAAGGGGTCGTTAGACTAAATCATGTCATCTGGTAACTCAAAAATATTATGTTGTCCAGATAAATGAAAACTTTAAATGTAGCATTCAAACCTTATTGAAAATAATGGTACATTATCACCTTTTTTAAATAGTTTCAGTTACCATGCTCATTAAATTTAAAAAAAATAGTTGCAAAATTACAGGTTTACAGCACATTCTATATGAGTGATAAGTGAGAAGGGATGCCACGGGCAACTAGAAATATTATAAGCGGTGACTAGTAAGTAAATATCTACTAAAAGCATTATAACTAATTACTTTTTGAAGCAATTAACACGTTGAGCACCACGCTAAATTTACATATCTTTCCCGTCAGGCCCCAACGGTAAATAACTACAAACTAAATTTGCACATATTAGACAGATTTTGCTAGTTTTTAAAAGAATATATACGTACATATTTTCTTTACGTATGTTCTTTACAACAAGACATATGAAAAGAGAGGTGAATTATATAAGCCTACGAATTGTTTAGAAATAGTGGTAGATAAAAACCTAGTAAATTGAATTTATTAAACCAAGAATCACAATAATTAACACGTTCACGCCGGGGTGGGTCACGCTAGATTTTCTCATCTTGACGGCGCACCGGAGTAAAAACTGGTAACAAATAAATTTCATTTTTTAGTTTTTTTCCGAGAATATAAAAATTTATATCTACCAATTGTTTTTAACGGATGCAATTTTTATATTGAATTTATACCTACCAACTCTTCCGGATTTTCCCGAAGATTTTATTTTCATATTTAAAGTGGTAGTAATTATATACTATTTTTTCTTTTATAATCTTAATTTTTAAATGATATTGATCACCACCATTCTTTCAAAACTTAAGAACATATATTAATATGCGTTACTGTCATGGTTGTCAACTTAAGTTTTCTCAAATACAACGTATTTGTTTGCTTAAAATTGAAGTTTNAAACATGAATAATATGAAATGTTAGTCATAATAATAGTTACGATTTAGTAATTAAAGAGACAGTAAATAAATCGAAATGAATTGAGTTTCTAGCACTTTTTACATTTTAGCATACCTGCCAACTCTCCCGGATTTTCCGGTAGATTTTATTTTCATATTTAAAGTGGTAGTTATTATATACTATTTTTTTTTATAATCTTAATTTTTAAATGATATTGATCACCACTATTCTTTCAAAACTTAAGCACATATATTAATATGCGTTACTGTCATGGTTGTCAACTTAAGTTTTCTCAATTACAACGTATTTGTTTGCTTAAAATTGAAGTTTAAATTCCATTTTAATACCACTGGGAAAAATAATAATGGAAGGGATTAAAAGTTGGCAGGTATGTGAATTGCTTCTTCGCCGTGATAAATTTCCTTACAGTGAATTATTATTGTTGAGAATAGATTAACACCTCCCGAATATTATCTAATTTTGAAATAGTTCTTCTACCAGTATTTTCTCTTTTCCCGTACCAGTATTTTCACTTTTCCCGGCGTAAACGTGTTAAATATAAATAATTTTTAATGTAAGTCGTAATGGTAGTTGCAATTGAATAATTATTACAGATTAAATAAAGTAGAAAAATTCAAAAAGAAATTTAGTTTCTACCACTTATTACAATTTTGTCGCCCATGGCATCGCTGATGGTTGTAGTTAAATTAGTGCCTTCAGAATTTGATTAATTTTGCCAAAAATAAATTAATTTAACATATTTAAATTTTTTGTTGTTAAAGTTAAGTGGTAGCTAAACTTTTGAAAGCAAGGAATTTTACACCTCTGGCGGTTTGTAACATTTGTTGAATTAGTCTTGCCAAACTAGCTACACTACGCTGGAAGTGGTTAGGAGGCTAATTCAGCGATTAATGGACAAATAGTACGGTTGTTTTGTTCAGATATACTTTGTTTGAAAAATAATATGCAGTGATAATTTTTACCACTTCATAAATTTTTTTAAGATTCGTAGTTCATGTTATTAGAAAAGACGTGTGAGCAGCGTTGCATAACTCTCCTGCGCTGCTCAGACAGTAAGAGTTTCACAATACTTTTTGAATAAATAAAGAACAATAATCTCTTACTTGTTGAAGAGGACAATGTCCGGCTTCCAGACTTTATCAGGAGGTAAACGGAGTACTTGAATTCCTCCGTAGTCAGCAGGATCCCAAACTAATTGGTAGTCCATCCAGGTCTAGGATAAAAAAGAAAAAAAGACATTTTTATTAGAACATTGAAAACTGGACAGAATTGAGAAAGATTTGAATTGCTCTTCGATTTGAATTGAATGCAGAAAATCTATAAATCTACTTTCCTCAAAATTTAAAATGTTGGAATGGGCCAGTTTTGCAACTAAACGAATCAGTTAAATTCTTTTTGACACAAGGTCAATGAACTTTGGTTTTCAATCAAAATTACGCTTCACACACACAGTATTGCATAGCATATGCATGGACCGAGGAGGGCGAGCAACCCCAAGGGGTCGTCTCCTAGGAATATGTAGTATGATTAAGACTAGTTTGGTGAGCAACCCAGAAGACGAGTGGTTATTTAACCAGGATGCCTGGGTCACCACTGTAACAGAGATCTTGACTTTAATTANCATAAATCAATTATTAATCAAAAATCGAATATCAATTACTTTTCTTTATAATGCAATAAAATCTGGCGAGCAGCTATTTAAACGATCAAACACTTCGTTTGTTTATTTGTGGCTTGAAGTTAGGCTCGCAGAAAATGCCGTTCATGGGTTAAATTTAGTAGGAATAACACAACCTGTGACGTAGGCTATAGTATACCCAATTAGATTTAATTCGCAATAATTTTGGCTACGACTATGCATAAGCATGCAAAACTATACAGATATGCATGTTTTCAGTTTCGGCTCAAAACTTTTTCTGTATAAAGAAAAGACATAAAAGGCTATCTAAATCAACGGTACTATTTTATAAAGTTCAAGTGTCATTTAACAATTTTCATAAGTCTTGAGAAAACTTAAAGGATTCCTCTGCATGACTTTTTTCCAGGTACTAGCAATTCACCATACATGCTAAACCGTAAATCCTGACTACCAGCGGCTTTTAAAATAGTGGCAAAATAACTATTCAGGTGCACATAATTGTTTAAATTTAGCACACGAAATACACTCAGCCCTAGCCCAACTTTGGTTTTCTATCAAAATTACGCTTCACACACACAGTATTACATAACATATGCATGGACCGAGGAGGGCGAGCAACCCCAAGGGGTTGTCTCCTAGGAATATGTAGTATGATTAAGACTAGTTTGGTGAGCAACCCGGAAGACGAGTGGTTATTCAACCAGGACGCCTGGGTCTCCACTGTACACAGAGCTCATGACATAATTTTCTCTCATTGATTATTTTCCTATTGTATACATCTATTTTATTTTTATCTTATTTTTTTATTCAATTTGGATTGATTATCGTGCGTTGTAAATACATATTTATTTTATATTTAACCCAGACCTTCCTTAATATTATCGATCATCATAATGTCCATGATTATTCTATTTTATATTGTTTATGATTATATAGTCATTTAATTATACCTCATGCAACTCTGCATTTCTTGATTGTCCATGTCACACGAACCCCCTCTCGATTTTTTGGTGCTGAGCACCCCCTTCTCCTCCCATCTCCATTCCTCCTCACTACTCCTCATCGTCGATTTATTACTACTGACGAATCGGTTAATGCCGCTTCACGGCAACGCACCGAGATTTATGTGATTTCTACCATTGTTTAACTTCGCAATCGTCTAATATCAGTTATCAAAATTGAGGGTAGCTGCAATTTGGAAAATATTGTCCAAGTAGTTAAGAAAAGATATCAGTCGAAAATTTGAACCCTTAACATTAATTTCATTTTCTGCTTATAGCGCCAAATCTCAAAAAATTCTGAACATTTTTCCACTCACATGCATACCTGCAAACTTATACGGTAGCTGAAAAAAACTGTAAAATTTAAAGAACATAGAAACGAAAAACGTATTTATTTTAATTAACCTCTTAGGGACGAGTGAGTTATAAATGCATTCGTACAGCATAAATGTGGGCATGGCTAATTTAACATAGTATTTGTTGTTTTCACTTTATTTCCAACGTATGTAATCTATAATACAGAATCCTTTTTAAGACCTAATACAATTTGTAGAGATGCCAACTGATCCAGTTTCCACAGAATATTTTAAAATTGAATATTATTTCGCTCAATTACTTTTTTAAAAGGTTTTGGGTTCATGCGTACAACTGGTTCACTTTTTAAACAGTCTACGGAGGCTTCTTGATGTAGGAGGTGATGGCCCACCACAGAGCAACCAAAATTTTTAAAAAAATATGGCAATACTTATTAGACAAAGCAAAATATTTCATTTTGTAATTCAACAAAAGAAACTTCTAACCAAGCTTTATAGCTACAAAATAAACGTTTTCACAGTTCTCATTCAACAACAACAACAGAGATCATCTTGCTCCGCTTTGCCGAATAGTATTTTCTTGCGGTAGCGAAATTTAAGTTATTTTTAGTTTCAATTTTAATTAATTTTTCCACCACTAAATATCAAAAATTATAAGAATCATATAACATGCAACCTGAAAGCATTAATTATTTGGTTACGGTTTTTTCAAAGTAGGCGTAACTGTGCTTATTTTAAGAGTTTTACTAATTAATTCGCTACCACTTTATTAAAACTTTTCCAGAGAGCGAAGCAGTTGACAAAATAAATGAACCGAGATTTACTTCCTCGCACAAAAACAAGCAGAACTTGTTATGTAAATGAACGTCTTCCCTTGCCAAAGAGATTGAGGTACCCTCTGCACAAAATTATAAAAACACTTCTACACTGACTCTATATACACAATCTTTCTTTTAGTGTTTAGTGTAATCAAGTGTTTTGGAAGATTTTACTTTCCATATCTGCCAACTATTTTGGATTTTTCGGAAGATTTTATTTTCATATTTAAAGTGGTAGTAAATATATACTATTTTTTCTTTTATAAACTCAATTTTTAAATGATTTTGATCACCACTATTCTTACAAAAATTAAGCGCATATATTAAAATGCGTTGCTATCATGGTTGTCATCTTAAGTTTTTTCAAATGCAACGTATTTGTTTGCTTAAAATTGAAGTTTTAATTCAATTTTAATACCACTGGGAAAAATGATAATGGAAGGGGTTAAAAGTTGGCAGGTATGCATTATACAACTGTTGACACAATACCAGCGATGCCAACTGCTCCGGACACGCCAAGATAATTATTAAAAAAAACGGTAAATAACTGCAAAGTAAATTTTGCAAATATTTAACTATTTTTGTTTGTTTTTTAAAAAGTATAGCATGACATAAGTATTATAAAGTGTTGAATTATATAAGCCAAAGAACTATTTAGAAATAGTGGTGGATAAAAATCTACTAAATTGAATTTATTAAACCAAGAATCACAATTGATAAACTGCCACTTTAAAATATATATTTGCTGTCAGGAGCATGTTGACATCTCTGCACAATACAAAAAATCATGCATTGAGCTGTTAGATATGGTATCATTTTAACCCATGCGAATTTTACATGGAACAAAATGAGGAAAGTAAGTAATTAAATTTTTTCTAGCTTTATGCCAGCAATTATGAAATCATTCTAAAGGATTGCAATGCACGTATTAGAATGTTTTTTTAAAATTACAATGACTAATTAGTTTAGACGGAATAGTTTAGACTAATTAATTATTAATTAAACTAATCAATTTATTTTATCTTCAGACTTTCTTGATTTATTAAAAACATTCTCAAATTCATGTTTTTGACAAAAGGAATAACTTTCCATTTCCTATCAACAAATTAATTAGCTGAAATTCTTATATTTCTATGAGTATTTTGTTTATACATTCAATATCGTGTTTATTGCGCAACTTCATCCGAATTAATTATATTAAGTTTACGTGAAGTTATGAAATGTTTCTTTTGAATAATTTTCAATCTATACGTAAACTTCTCTTAAATAATGTTATCTCAATTGGATTTTTGCACAGATACTTGATTTAGAAGAAAATTGTCTTCCGAGGCAAAGTAATGCTTACCTTTGTGCTATGGTAGGGCCACCTAGCATTGAAGGCTCGGTTGGATCTTCAGAAACATAACTAAGTGCCTGTCTATATTTCCAATCAAAAAGTTCGTTTTTTTTATATATTTTTTCAATCTTTTTCTCATTCATAACTTTACATATTTTATTCATAGTTTTATTGTTTTCCATTTTGGCTTATAAAACAATTTAATACTCGAACCTGCGACATTTGACTCCCATCCGAACGATCGAGTTTAAAATCAATCGAATAAATTTACTTCTACTTCGATTTTCGGGATGTCCTCATCTGACTTGCTTTCGCTGCGTGTTTATTACTTTGTCGAGGGTATGGTTGCCTGTGGAATTTTGCCACTGACAGCAGAAACTACTCCAGAAACTCATAATGTCGTCAGTGCAGAAGCAGATTCTGAGAAGAGTGCCCGTCTCTGATTAAGTTGTCTTGTATGTCAGTGATGATCATTTCCTTCTTTGTTCTTTACATTGTCAACATTTTCTATCGCGTTTTTGTTTTATTATTATTATTGCGCAGTAGTTGGACTATCATTGCTTTCCTGTAAGTGACTGGATTCATGTCAGGTAATTTGTTTAGATTTACATTTTCTTCAAATAATTATTCAAGTTGTAACATTAGCAGCTCAGCTCTGCTCCTGCCTGGAAGGAATTGTATACATTTTCTCTCCCTTACTTCTCAAATTTTAATATTATTGCACTTTGTATGTAAATTAAATTGCATTATATATCTATCCATAAACAATGGTAGGAAGCAAAAGTAGCTAACACTTCTATACTAACTCCATGTAAACAACCTTTTTTTTAAACAGCAAATGTTCTGTAAGCTTTCACACTGCAGGAACGATTTATAAGATCATGCTTGAAGCTTTTAAAAATGGTGTCATTTTTAACTGGGCAATGTTCGGATCGACTAACATGAGGGAAAAAAGTTAATACCTTCTGTCTAGCATAACAGCAATTTTGAAGTCATTCAATAGGATTGAACTATTTATATTAGAATAGTTTTTTTTTTTTAATTATTGTGGATTAAAGAAAAAAAAAGCTTTTAACTTATGCTTATTTTGGTCGATGCAAATTTT